TTGGTTCAGAAGCAGCTCTTTGGCACCTCTGGGATGTGCCTGATGGAGTTCTGCTTGCACTGCAGAGATAGTGCTGGCATCTGCTGTGCATGGACCTGCTTTAGCCATCACATAACAGGGGGTGTGTTGTGCTGCCCAGTAACGCACAGTCCTGGGTGGAGAGCAGCAGAGGTGACCTGGGCAAGGTAACGTGGCTTGGAGCAGTGTGTGGCAACAGTTGTTTCATAGAAAGCTTCCTGCCTGTGGAATGTGGTTGGGATCAGATTATCTGGGAGCTGTTGGCTCTGTGCTCCTGCCAGTCTCTGGCAGTCACGCACAGTCCTGGTGCTGCCCTCGGTTCCTGGGGAGAGCAGGGTGCTCATGAAGCTGTGACCTGTAAAATTTGGAGTTGTAGAGAATGACTGCCCTCCCTTGCCTGTGTATCCAGATTCCACAGTGTGCTGGTAGTGTGAAATGTTTCACTGTGGAACAGCTACAGCTCAGCTGCTGTTTGTCAGGTCTCTGATAGCACAGGGCAGGCCAGTCACTGCTATTTATATAGCAGGCTGTGAAATTAATGCTCTCCCGTGCCAGCTCATAGCCCAAATTGCAGGAGGCAGGTTGACTGCCTGCTCCTGTGCTGCTGGCTGTGTGGCAAGTGAGGGGAGCTGTGGTTGGGGTGTGGGGTGTGGCAGTGCAGGACCCATTTCAGTGGCACAGGGCTGTGTAGGGTGGTGGGAGCCATGTGGGAAACCACTACATCACTGTCTGTACCAGCTGAAAGCTGAAGGTCTGAGGATCTGCTCAGCTGTTGCTTCTGATGGCAGGAGAGTAGGAACGTGGTGACAAAGCCCTGCAGGTGGAGGTGGCCACCCAGAGCAGGAGGCTCCTCTGGCAGCTGTCATGGCAAGCAGCCACGGGGTGCCACATGGGTGCAGTGCCTGCTTTGTGCTCTTGGCTCCTGCTCTGGTGCCTCCCTCGTGCTGGAGCACTGAGCACATCCACACAGGGCCCTGCTCCTGGCACGGAGTGTGGCGTGGGCTGGGAGCAGGGACCCGGCTGGTGCCAGTGTCCTCTGGGCCAGCCCTGCTTCTGGAAGGGATACACAGCACAGGGAGGGCTCTGGGGTGATCCCTCCTTTCCTTGCTCAGGTACCACAGCAGCTGCTTGCAGGAGGAGCAGCATGGCTCTGCCCCGCAGCCTCTCAGGACGGGGTCAGTGGTGATGCAGTGCTGCCCACACGGCTCGCTCTGATCCCTTGGCAGAGCTGCTCTCAGGTCTACTGTGTCTGGGAGAGCTGTTGGGTGGCACACTTGTCTGAAATGCCAACTGTAGTAACATTGGAGTTTTAATAATAGAAAGGGTGTCCTATCCACAAACCTTGATTTTCTGAAGAACTTGCTGTCTCTAGAGAGTGAAATGTGCTTATTTTTGCTTCCCCTCTTCCCTCAAACAGCCCTCTAGCACACTGTGGGAGAAAGCTAGAGCTCACCTGCTGTGGGAATGCTAGAGCTTTGATCCTCATCCTCTCTCCTAGAGATACCTAATGCTGCTCATGGCAGGTGCTGATAAATCTGAGCTAATTGTCCGTTCCTGGCAGGGCTGGCACCGTGAGCAGTGCCCGCAGCGCAGGCTTTCTGCCTCTCCAGAGCTGGCACTGAGCTGCCCCCTTGGTTCTTTGGAGTGTGTGGGCTGGTGCCCCTCATGCTCCTGATCTTCCTCGGGCCCGGTCCCCTGAGCAGTGGCGCTCGTGGTGCTGGCCCGTGGCCGGGATGCTGCTCCCTGCAGAGCAAACATCTCGGAGCATCCTTGGGTGGCACTGGCAGCTCTTGGGGCAGAGCAGGGGCAGAGCTGGCTGAGCTGGCTCCCAGAGCATCAGCTGCTCTGGTGGTGTTTGGGTGTGCTGTGGGTGCTGTGGGGCACAGCCAGCTCCCGGCACATTGCAGCTGCCCAGCAGCAGTGCCCCTGGTCTCAGTGGGGCTGGGTGTGCCCCACAGCAGGGCTGTGCTGAGCTGAGCCCCACTGGGGAGGCTTTAGCATGGCTATGGGGACAGTCCTTCCCTCCTTCCCAGGTACCCTCCACTCCAGAGGGGACAGGGTGGGATTTGCAGAAATACCTTTTATCTTGTTGAGGCTGCAAAGACCCAGAGGAGACCTGGAAATTACCTTACTCTGCAGAATAACCTACTTTTTCTGAGTGTTTCTGAACAGCAGCTTTCTTAGAAACTCTTGGCTGTGTTTTATCTCCTTGGGGTGAGTTTAGCAGATGCACCACCGGGTTTTTAGACCCTGCCATGCTGCTTTAGAGTCACAGACAGGTAGAAGGTTGGTTTGAGAGAGGAAAGCTGCTCTACCATGGTCAGATACCAATGTGTTGGCAGCATGTGAGGTAGTTCTGCTGGTGCCCATCTGCTTCAGCTTCTTTGCTGGTCTCAGTCTTTGGTTGTTTGGCTGTTTAGGGACCTCTAGGGGTGCCTGGGGACAGGGTGACAAGCTGGCTGGCTCCTCATGCTCGAGGCTTCCAGCAGCCTGGAAGGTTGCTCCTGTGGAAAGATGCATTGCCAGCTGTTTTGCTGTATTCTGCAGGAATTGGTTAGAGCCTGAAATAGCTCTGGCTGTGTAAATAGTGGTGAAGCATGCCAAACCCAAGAAGTGCACTTGATGTTGGTAGTGGAAGGTGCTTTTGGATACAAATCCAGACTGGAATTCGCTGGAGGATTGGCCCAGGCACAGTACTGTGCTGTGTTGAAGTAGTTGTAGATTGAAATGAGGGGGAGTGCATCCTCTGAGACGCTTTTCATTTGTTTGTTTGCAGTAATAAATCACCAGGGCTTGTGAAGACTACTGTGTTACCTCGGGTGGGCTGTTCCTGGGGAGCAGTGCTGTGCCCCTGCCTGGTGGATGAGGTGCTGTGTGGGGGATAAGTAACCCCCAGTTCCAGTGGCCCCAGCAGGACCCAGTGGGTGCTCAGTGCTGGCATTTGTGTGACACAGCACAGGGCTGGGGGCTGGCATCTCATGGGTGGCTTGCATTCAAAAACTGAAGGGAGCTTTTCAAATTACTTTTTACTGAGTAATTGCTCATGGGGTGGGGGTTCACATCCAGCCTTCCTCCTGCTGTGCACAAAGCTGGGGAAGCATCTGGAGTCAGTCCTGTGAGGAGCAGCTGGGGGAGCTGAGCTTGGAGAAAAGGAGCCTTGGGGAGGACCTTCCTGCTCTCTGCAAATTCCTGTAAGGAGTTTGTAGGTGGGGGGATTGGGCTCTTCTTCCAGGAAGTTTGTGACGGGACTGGCTGCTCTTTCCCCTCTGTCCTCTCAATTCAGGAGCAATTGTGTGGAATCTCTTCCTAGCAGGAGAGCCATGGAGTCCCCAAGGGGGTCCCCAAGGGGGTAACAGTCCCACTCCCACCTGCCACGCTGGGATGCCCTTAGGGGGTGCAGGAAGTTAGGTGTCATGGGCACAGTCTTAAGACTTTGAGGAGGAGATAACTCAGGAGTGCTGCTTTCAGAAAAGAGTTGCTTTCATTCTGCTCAAAGGAGCCTGCTGGGAATGAGCCATTCTCTGTCCCCTAAAGCTGGTGCCATTCCCTGGGGTGGGAGCTGCTTTAATTGAGTGGGAGATGGAGTATTCTTGGCTGGGGTGACCTGGGAGTTGCCAGCATGGCTCAGAGCTCCTCCTGGGAATACCACGGGCCAGTGTGGCTTTGTGACTTCGATTGGTGTGTATGGGGAGCTCGGATATTAAAACCAATTAGTTGTCTTTAAGGTCAGGGACTTATTTGACCTACCAGCCTCCGTTTCAACTTGGCCTGGATTGAGGATCTTCGGGAGAGGGCTGTACAACTTGTGTAAAGAGGCTAATGAAGTGATGCTTTTTAAAGCACTTCCCTGCTGCCTCTGTAGCCCAAACATTTCAGCAGGACACTGGTGCGTGACAGCCTGAAACTGCAGCGAGCAAGGGCTGGGCTAGGCTCCTCCTCCCCTAAGAAATGTAAAAGAGAAAAACCCTGGGGTTTGATATTTGAAAAGCACTTTGTTGCCTCTCTGACTCAGAATCCTGAGAAAAGGCTTTTTCACAGAGCTTAGCTGGCTTGCCCTTGAGGATACGATGAGGGATTTGATTTTGGTGCCATTACTCTGATGGGAAGCATGAGGTCTGAGTTAAATTTGAGACAATGCAGAGGCAGCACTTCAGACATCTGGGATACTTCAGTGGCAAATGGGAGGTACCTGCTGGAAGGCAGATGGGAGCTTCCCCTATTTTCTTTTGGCTTTGGGTTGATTTGAACCACAAGGCAGCTTTGGGGATTAGGATTTCTGCAGGACCCACCCCAAAGCCCTAGGAAAAACGAGTATCAAACTTATTTTCCTTTAATTTAAGCCTGTTCTGTGATTTGTGGGGGGGGCTTATCTCCTGACTCTGCCTGGCATTGGTGCTGGTGAAGCAGCAGTGTGTGCTTAGCACAGTTTAGTTAAAGCAGCTGCCAGAGCTGATGAGCTGCTCTGGGGAGAAAAGTGATAGTGGGAAAGCAGAAAAGACTCACCGTGACAAAGGGATCCTTCCCGTTCAGTTTTCTGTATTAATCTGAGGAAAACAAAGTGTTAAGACAGCACTTGGGCTGCTTAGTACTCCAGCTGTCTGAGAACAAATGGAATGAGCTCTAAGATGTCCTTGAAGTATGTGGCTGCTTTGTTTTAAATAATCTCTGCTGGGAGCTGCTTCCATTCCTCCTGCTCCCAGCCCTTGGTCTGTGCAGCCCTTGGTCTGTAGACCTGTTCTTGCTTCTCAGAGTAGTACCCTCGAGTAAACAAGCAGCTTCTGGAGGACTTGCTTGGTAGAGGCTGAGCACTGAAGAAGAGCCTGTTTTGGTTTGTTTTCTCTCCCATTGCTGTCCAGCAGAAGGGGAATTGCACCAGTAACAGTGAAGATGCATCACTGGGTGGGAGGGAGGAGAGGACCGTGCACATGGAGTCTGGTGGGAGAGTCCTTGCTGCCTGCTCACATCTCTTTTTCTCTCCCCAGCAATGGTACCAGCATGATCTCGTTGATCATTCCCCCCAAAGATCAGATCTCGCGAGTGGCAAAAATGTTAGCGGACGAGTTTGGCACTGCCTCCAACATAAAGTCAAGAGTGAATCGCCTTTCAGTACTGGGAGCCATTACATCTGTACAGCAAAGACTGAAACTCTATAACAAAGGTAACTTCTAGCTTGTATGGATGCTGGCACACTTCCCTTTCTTGGAAGCAGCCTTAAGTTCCTGCACTATGCAGTTTTCTCCTAATCAAATCTGTTGGCCTGTGCTGCTGTTTTGCACTGATATTCCAGGTATGTTGCCCTTGGATGGCTACTTCAGGGGTGGACTTTGGGACTAGAATAGTAAGGTGGTCCTTGTCTCTAAAGAGTGGGATCATGATTCTGTTCTTAGTGCTGACTCTGCTAAGCTTGGCCAGACTTAAGAGCTGGATATTCCATAGCAGTTCATTTGCGTTAAATCTGTGATTTCCTGTCAAGCAGAAACTTCTGTGTGCCTAATGCATGGCATTGAGCAGCTGCCATTGTTCTGAGGGGAGAACCAGATCCAGGCCATCTCAGATGAGCCCTGGAAGAGTTCACTGTTACTGAACAGTGGCATGTCACTCTGCACATCCCTCTGTGGGGACCAGCAGGGCTTCAGGGGCTGCTCAGCCTTTCTTTGGGTGCTGTGACTTGCAGACTCCTGGCTTTAATGGGCAGGTGCATGTCTGCTACAGGTGCACTAAATGAGTTTCCCATTGGAGAGACCTGGGAGGGAATGAGGTGGGGAAAAGGGAAAAGTTAGAGAGCTTGAATTTCGACTCTGCGACAAGTCTCAAGGGCTGGCAGTCAGTTTTTGATGGGTACAGCTTGCCACATTCCTTAGTGATCTAAACCTGCATTGTGTCATTTGTAGTACCTCCAAATGGTCTGGTTGTTTACTGTGGAACAATTGTGACAGAAGAAGGAAAAGAGAAGAAAGTCAACATTGACTTTGAACCTTTCAAACCAATCAATACGTCGTTGTATTTGTGTGACAACAAATTCCACACGGAGGTAAGGACTCTCCCATTGCAGGAGCCGAGGCCTGGGCACAGCCTTGCTGGACTTGAGCCTGGAGAGCAGCAGGAATGTGCCCTGGGGAGGCCAGGGATGGCTTGGGACTGGCCAGAGATGGGGAATGCCTGCTGGAAGGAGCTGAGGGACTGCCCAGCTCCTCCCACCCCTGTGTTTGTGTAACCCACAGACAGGAGCTCCTCTCTGTAACTGGAGGAAGGGTGGTTTTTTCTTACCCACAGAGGCCCATGGATATTATTCCAACTCAGGCTTTAAAATGCTGCCAAGATAATATCAGTGTTGCCAGTCTTGCTATCAGATGTGTTAACTGAGAGCCTTGATGGAGAACTGGCATGTGCCTAATCTGTCTGGGGGGAAGTGGGATTATTTTTATCCAACATCTAATTAAGTTAAATGAATGGTTTAAGGCGTATTGAAAGAAATGTGGATGACAGCAGTCAGTGTATTGCCTCTGAGGCTGTTTTGCTATGGCAGGTGCAGAGGTCTCAATGTTTGCAGTGCCCCTCACGTCCTTGATGTTCCCCATGATAAATGTGTGGCCTGAGACTTAATTGCCTGTTGTCAAACCCGTGTGACATGGGCTTGGCAGGCCCTCCAGTGATGTGGTTCTGCTTGTGTCTGTGGAGGTGTGATCCATAAGTGGCTTCCAGAGGTCAGGAGTACAGCAGGGAAAGGTGTGCTTGTTGCACAGGCCAGGTCCATCCCCATTATTCTGTCTCCTCATAAAGGATGAAATCCCAACACACCTTTGACCTCCCAGGAACAAAAACCTGTGCACAGGCACAGGTCTGGAGTTCTGCTGGGTCCATGTGTCCATAGATGAGTGAAAGCAAGAGGCAAATAAGAGAGTTCAGTAGAGAGGGAGGATGGCAAGCCCAGGGAGGTGTTTGTCCCTGCTGCCGTGGGCAGTGGGAGGGTGCTGGGTTTCCTCCTGCCCTGTAGGAGATGGATTCATTTGGTCTTTTCTGCAGCTGCTGCCTCAGGGCACTGATTCAGTTCAGAAGTCCCAGCAGGCTGTTCCCAGGAGCAGCTGCAAATCCACTTGTGCTGCTGTGTGGCACTGCTCAGCAGGAGTGGCAGTGACCCGGGGGCAGTTTTTGGGAATTGCTGCTCCTGAGGATGGGGTCACTGCCAGCCCCTCCCTGCATGGGCTCTGTGCTCTCCTTTCACTCTCCCTGGTTGGGGGGTGTGGGGCCATTTCCCTGGGGATTGCCCTGCAGAGCTCTGAGCTCTGCCTTTGGCCCCTGTCTGGCTGTGCAGCCTCGAGCCCCGGGGTTCCCAGCAGCCAGGGCAGCTGCTCGGGCACCCACATCTTTCCTGGGCACATCGGGTGGGAAGGAGCAGCAGGGGGAGCTGAGCTTCACCTTTGGGCTACAGCTGCAGAGGAGGAAGCTCAGGCCAGGCTGAAGGAACAGAGCAAAGGCAGAAGTCCCTTCTTGGTGCTTGACAGGTCAAACAGTGCAGTTGCTGACAGAGCTGCTCAGGGGATCATTGGTACTGTCTGAAAATAAGAGCAAATCGAGAACATCAGAGCTGTAGTGATGTGTTGCCTGGCAAGAGCATCTGATAAGATTTCCTCTAGATATTTTATTGCCTGTGTGAAACTGAAGTAACTCCCCCAGGGGACTGTGAGCCCTGATGTGTGTCTGAGGGGTAGGATTTACAATGACTTACTTTGATACCTTGGCTGGAGCATTCATTCCAGTCACACGTTTTGCTTGGCTCTGTCCCAGTTAAATAGATTGCAGTGTAATATGCCACTTCCTCCTCTCATTCATCCCACTGCTGAGGAATTAATACAGAATATTTACTTTGGCCAGGAGATTCCATTAAACCTTAGCCTCTGTTTCTTCTAAGCTTGGGAGCTGCAGCCTGGCTTGTGTGGATTTTGGAAGAGGATGACTGATGGGTTTTATCCTTTCAGTTAAGCCCAATAATCAGGCTGACAGCCCTGCAGGCAGCTCGAGGTCCCGTGCAGTAACCCAGCACCATCACTTTCAGTGTTAAACTGGTGATTTCAAGCAATCTGGAGTTTTGACAAGTTCCCCATCCTACTGATGTGATTTTGCCAGCCAGAAAGAGGATTCTGGCTATTGCTTTTTTGGGCATGTGTAAGTGAGCAGGAGTGTGTGTGTGTGCTGGATGTCTCTGCCCACTCAGACAGCCCCTGAGGGAACAGCAGCTGAGAGATCGCCTTGAGCAGCGAGTGCAGGGTTTGGGTGCTTGGGCAAAATCAACTCAAAAACCTTGATACTGCACCGTGCTTTGGTTGGGCAACTTAAATGACCTTGTGGGAAATATTCAGCTGCCTTTTTTTTAAAGGGAGTAAAATTGAAGGGTAACTTCATTTTGCAGCAAATGTTCTGGCTGTCTTCTCCACAGCCAGTTATGCCCAGGGCAATTATTGCTGCTGTTCCTTGTGCTTTGTAAGGCTGAATTTGCCACGGCCACTGTAGATTTATTTCATCATTCTGCCTGTGGGACTTGAAGTCAGCAGGTGCTGCAGACCAGTGTGGTGGTAGGGAGGCTGTGTCCATGCTTTGGAGTGCAAAACTGAACTGACAATGAACTGAGCAAGTTCTGCTTTCCTGGCTGGAATGCCAGGAGAGTTACTGTGCTCCAGTTGTGCCAGCCAGAGAGGTGAGGCAGCCTCAGAGAGGTGGGATCCACTTCACTTCTCACTCTCCAGAGCCCATCTCTGGGGTTTTGCTGGCACATCTGCCCATGACCTCAGGTAGGGAACTAGCAAAGCTGGGAGATTGTGGTCAAAATTAAACTTGAGTTTCCTTTGTGCTCTTGACAGTGTTGGATGGGATGGGATTATGTGTGGAAGGAATTGTTCCCTGGCAGGGTGGGCAGGCCCTGGCACAGGGTGCCCAGAGCAGCTGTGGCTGCCTCTGGATCCCTGGCAGTGCCCAAGGCCAGGTTGGACAGGGCTGGAGCAGCCTGGGATGGTGGAAGGTGTCCCTGGCATGGCTGGGGTGGAATGGGAAGGTCTTCAAGGTCACTTCCAACCCACACAACCCTGGGATTCTGTAGTGATCTGGAATGGTTACAGCTCCTGAATGTGCTGCTTTTTCTCCACTTTATTAATGACAAAGTAGCCGTGGCCAGCTGTGAGCTGAGGCTGCTGGGGCTGTGCTGTCCCTGGTGAGAGCCCAGCCCTGCCTCACAGCCCCTCTCTGTTCCAGGCCCTCACGGCGCTGCTCTCCGATGACAGCAAGTTTGGCTTTATTGTAATAGATGGGAGCGGGGCACTCTTCGGAACTCTCCAAGGAAACACACGAGAAGTGCTGCACAAATTCACTGTGGATCTTCCAAAGAAGCACGGTAACACACTCCTGTGCCTCTACTGAGTGCAGCAGCCTGACCTGGGCTGGGCTGGCAGGGTGCAAGTGGGGAACTTGGCCTGTGGGGGTTTAGCTCTGCTCAAGTCTTTGCTCCCTTGGAATCTGACAGCAAAGCCTCCAGTCTGAGCCTTCTGTCAGAATTAATGAATCACAGTAGCATGCAGTTGATCTTAGAAGTGGCACTTCTTATTTCTTGCTGCATTTGACCCTTTACTTGGTTTTGGGACAGTTGTAACTAAGTATTAGTAGCACAAGCAGTAATGCCACTCAGTGGAGTGTTAAGGTCTGATGTGCTGGTGGTGTGTGCACAGCACAGTGAGGAGCAGCGAGCTGCTCTGCAGGAAGCACGGGGCTCATGGAGCAAGGAAAACTCGAATTCCACTCTGTGGTGCCATGTTGTAGCCAGCCACTGATGAGTTCAGCAAATTGTCTGCTGGTTACTCCTGGCCCACTGTCCTTTGTGGAGTGGGGTGGGACAAAATGCAGTAAGAGCAGTGTGCCCAGTGAGGCTGTGCAGCAGAGGCTGCTGGGCTGCGCTGCGTCATCAGGCTTGGAGACAGCGTACAAAAGAGATGGCTTCTCCTCAGGGTACAGGGAGAGAGGATGTGCTCAGATGTTCAGTTTCTACAGAGTTGTGAGTCTTTATAGGAAGAAAAGAAACATTTTCCTCTGTGGGGAAAAATCTCCTGGTGGGAACGAGCCCTCTTTATTCCATGGGAGCCCCTCGGCTCACAGCAGACCTGAGTCAGGAGGCTGCAGCTGCCCTTGGCTTTGGTTATTCGGGGCCAGCTGTGTGCTGAGGGCGCTGCTGGGATGCAGTGGGTCCCCCATGGCTGCCCCATCCCTCCCTGCAGGCAGAGGAGGTCAGTCTGCCCTGCGCTTCGCCCGCCTGCGCATGGAGAAGAGGCACAACTACGTGCGCAAGGTGGCCGAGACGGCCGTGCAGCTCTTCATCTCCGGGGACAAGGTCAACGTGGCCGGGCTCGTCCTGGCTGGCTCAGCTGACTTCAAAACTGAGCTGAGTCAATCAGACATGTTTGATCAGGTGAGTGGCCTTTTCTGAGCAAACCCACGTGTCTGAGTGTGGTGTGGTGATTGTAGCAGTAGCTCTGATACAAGATGCTCCTCCTGAGGAACTTAACTCTGGTGTCTGAAGAGATTTGATCAAAACTAAGAACCTGCTGTATCCAAAGGAGTCTCCCATTCCTAACACCTCCTGCAAGGAGCTGAGAACCCCTGTTCTTAAAACAGGGCTAATAAGAAACCTCTCCTCCTTGTTTTGGAACTGGCGTTCGCATTCTTTGTATTCCCAAATCTAAAGCAGAAACTTTGTTGGAATTGAACTCCAGTAAACCTAACGTGTGCCCCTGTTGCCTGAAAGCTGTGGTTCAGTACTGGTGCATTCAGAGGTCCCTCTGCCTCTGGTGAAGTGCAGTAATGGGTGCAGAGGCTCTCGTGGCAGGATGAGGACTCTGACAGCCCTGCTCTGCAGTGGATTTATGTTTTCGTGTCTCCTCCTTCTCTCGTTCAGCGGTTGCAATCCAAAGTGCTCAAACTAGTTGATATTTCATATGGAGGAGAAAATGGCTTCAATCAAGCAATTGAGTTGTCAACTGAGGTCCTCTCCAATGTGAAATTCATCCAAGAGAAAAAGCTAATAGGTACGTGATGCACTGCAGCTTCTGCAGAGCCAGGTGTGTGCACTGAGCGTGCTGCTCTCGCCCTGCTGGCAGTGCCCCTGGGCTGGCCCAGCCCTGCCCTGCAGGCTGAGAGTGACACTTGCTCTGGTTCTTTTTGCCACCTGGACACCTCAAGTGCTGGGATGGAGGGGGTGTGGTTGGTTTCTTCTGCCCCACCAGACTTCTTGGACTTTCTCTATCCTTCCTTGAGAGATCCCCTTAGTTCCAGGCCTCGTGGTGGCAGCTGCCTCTGGCAGTTTGTTGCCCTCAGGCGAGGCTGGGTGAGGAGTGTGTGCTGAGCTCAGTGCTCATGTGTGCCCTGCAGGACGATACTTCGATGAGATCAGCCAGGACACGGGCAAGTACTGCTTTGGTGTGGAGGATACACTAAAAGCTTTGGAAATGGGAGCAGTAGAGATCCTGATAGTCTACGAAAACCTGGATATCATGAGATACGTCCTGCACTGCCAAGGCACGGAGGGTACGTGTGCTCTGGGACACTGGAAGCTCTCAGGGTTTAACACTGAGGTTCCTCACTGGGGTGGGTTTGCTGGAGGCCAAAGGACAGATGGACAAAGGACAGGTCCCTGAGGACATCTGATCACAGGGATGCTGTGCAGGTCTGTGTTACTTTGCAGGTCACTAACCTGCAGCTTCCCAGCCCCTGTGGGGGCAAAGCTGGAAGAAGCAGGGTTCCAGAGGGAATTGCAGTGCCAGGGGGGCACTTGGTCACAGAGCCAGCCTGGAACCTCCTTCCAGCTTTGTGAGTGTGATACCAGAGGGGAGACTGAGCTGACCTTGTGACCAGAAACACAATTCCTGGGCCTGCAGCAGGACCTGTCCCTCTCTGATGGCTCTGCAGCTGCTGTTCCTGTGGGCTTGCTCACAGAGCTTCAGAGAGGGAGGAAGGCAGTGGCAGTGCCCAGACCCTCTGTGTTGCAGTTGGCTGTGCTCAGTCGCCTGCTGTCTTTAAACTGCATCTTGCAGCCTTACCCAAACTAATATTATAATTTTCCCCCCCTTCTCAGAGGAGAAGATCCTGTATTTGACACCAGAGCAAGAGAAGGATAAATCCCACTTCACAGACAAGGAGGTATTTCAGCTTTGGGCCTTCTGGGTTTGTTCTCAGTGTGTTGGTGCAGGGCTCTGGACACCTGGGCTAAGTTAGTCCCAAGCACATGAGCACAGGGACCTTCTGGCACTCAGTGACACCTCAGGGCAGGAACCTGTGGCTCTTCCTGTGTAGCCCCTGGATTCTACACTTGCTTTTCTCCACTCTTCCCTGCTGCCAGGGTTGTGTAAATGGGCAGTGTGGGATCTTTGACCAGCACCAAACCATCATCTACAAGGGTTTGGTAGCCACCATGCAGGCAAGGCCCCAGACCATTGCCTCCTGCTTGTGGGGCACTGGTTTGGCCATGCAGAACCACTGTGAGGTCAGGAATTGTGGCCTGGGTTGGGTGCCAAGGGAGAGTCTGCTTTGGGATGTATTTGACACATGGAGCTGTCATTTGCTGCCTGAGTTTCCTGCCTGTGCAGGTCAAACAGCCCTGGTGGACCAGGGTTCTGTGTTACTTGGCAGAATGAACTGGGAAAAAAGTGTCCCTTGTCAGGAGGGTGGGATCTGTCCCACTTGGGTTGTGCCAGGGGGCCATTTCCAGCTGTTTTCCCTCCTGGAGGGGGGACTGCCAGTCCCTGCTGTGCATGAAGGGCTTGCAGTGTGACCTGCAGGGAGGTGTTTCTATTTCACCATAATCACTGCTCTTCCTGCTTAGAAAACGGTGCCTTTTGGCTCTGTGCTTGCATGGATCAGTGATCCTGCCTGAGAACAGGGGCTGCAATCTGTGCAGGGGGCAGAGCAAGTCTGAATGAGCAGTGAAGCTTAGCTGTAGCATGGGGTGACGCTGGAGCAGAAGAATCAAGGAAGTTTTTCTCCTGCTTCTGCAGTAAATTTCATATGAGAGACCCAAAACACTGTCAGCGATGAATTTTGTAGCACCAGGAGCTGGTGGTTGTGCCTGCCCTTGCCTGGTGCAGTTGTGCCAGGAATGCCTTTCCCCAGGAATGTCCCTGTGGAGCATGAGGGCTGCTGTCCCTCCAGGGCTGGCAAAGCCATGGAGCCAACTGGGGGGGAATTTTCTCAGTACTGAGCACACAGTGACTGTAACAGGATTTTGTTATTTATTTCTCCCCTCCAATGTCTCCACAGACTGGGCAGGAACATGAACTCATAGAAAGTATGCCCCTCCTGGAGTGGTTTGCAAACAACTACAAGAAATTTGGAGCAACATTGGAAATTGTTACAGACAAATCACAAGAAGGATCCCAATTTGTGAAAGGATTTGGTGGAATTGGAGGTAAACTGCAAGAGGAAGATGTGTTTGTCTTGTTTATTGGTTGGTTTGATAATCTGGTGCCAGCACAAGTGGGATTTATCTTATTTCTGTTAGTCATGAAAGCAGTTCAACAAACAATTGTGTTCACCAGGGTAGATTCATTCCCTGTCCAGCTGGATGATGGTCCGTGTTGGGCCCTGTCTCTTTCCAGCTGTGTTCCTCAATCCCTGTGTCCTTGGAGGGCTCAGGGATGGGCTGGCTCCCCGTGCAGCTGCTGGAGCTCAGGAAGGCCCCGAGCTCCTGGCCCTGTCTGTGCACAGGGCTTTGGTGGCAGCCCCAGCCCTGTTCCTGAAGCACTTGGAGCTCCTGCTCACCTCTCAGAGCCTCCCTGTACTTTGCTCCCTCATCTTCTGCTTCTTTTCTAAAGAAGAGGATTTTTAGTCCCTCCTGGAGCAGCGAGGCCTCTGGAAGCCAGTCCTGCTCTGGAGCTCAGTGAGCATCAGCCACACCGGGCAGAGGTGCAGCTGGTCCTTGTGCCAGTGTGACAAATCCTGTGGGGCCATGTGCCATGCTCCATGTCCTGCCTGAGCAAGGGTTCCAGGGCACAGCTGGGCCACTGGCTGTGCTTGCCTTTGATGGATGGAGTGCATTGTAAAGAGGAATTTCTAGGGAAACTCCTAGAGAGAGCACCAGTCTGGAGGGAAGAACCTTGGGCTGTTTGGCTCCATAAGGAGCAACAGGTTTCCAGGTTTTCAAGGTTTGTAGTCACAGGAGTCTCATTTCATGCCAGATCCAGCCTCTTTGCATGGTGGGATCTTCCTTACTCCCATGCTCTGCAGGCTTGAAAGGAAATGTTGTTGAAAATCTCCTTCACCTCAGTAAATGATTCCAGGCTCCAGGATTTCCAGAGCCCTGGGCTGGTGTTTGGGGTGGAACACAGCCACTGAGCTGTTAGTGCATTGTGAAGGTAGCTGCACTGGCAGCTGCCCTCTGGATCCTGCTGCCAGGCCTCGCTCTGGGCGCTGCCTCAGGGACCAGGGATGTGCCCTGGTGCTCTCTGGAGGGGCAGCCCCAGAGCAGGCTCAGCTTTGCCAGGCCGGGCTGGACAGGGGCAGCCCCAGAGCAGGCTCAGCTTTGCCAGGCCAGGCTGGCAGAGCAGGCTCAGCTTCCTTTGGGCAAGACCTTCCCAGTGCTGTGGCATTTCTCAGTGCAGCTGCCAGGCCTCAGCCAGACAGGGCTGGGAAGCTCTGGAAGCGGGGCTGGGAAAGCTGTGCCTGTGGGAATCTGGGGAAGCTAAAGGCTGTTTCTTTGGCAGGTATCTTGCGGTACCGGGTGGACTTCCAGGGCATGGAATACCAAGGAGGAGACGATGAATTTTTTGACCTTGATGACTACTAGGTAGTCGAGCTGGGTCCGGCAACACGTGCCTCGCCCCTCCAGCATCCAACCCAAGGAGCAAACTCATGGTGGAAAACACAACAGATCCCTGCCTTAGAATTGGAACATTTCCAGAACGTGATCCGCGAGCATTTGGATTTAAGAAAGCAAAACCCTACACTTTGATTTGTCATAGTGTCAGTACAGCAGCAAACTACTAAGTTCCTATATGCCACTTTGGACTAATTTAAAAAGAATCCCAGTTTTTACTTTTACTCAATGGTGAAATTGGTTGCTCTTGTATTTTATGGAAATGATTTTTTTAACCTTCATGATACATTAACTGCTGTAAACCTCTTCCTTCCAAAATTAATAGAAGTAAGATCCTACTGGTTTGTTTCTTTATACTTTGATTGGAGAAATCAATTGCTGCATTTGGCAGCACTGTGACCCATTTACATGGCATTCTCAGCTTAGCCTGCAGAAGAAATGGAACGAGGTTGGAGCCATAATTCTCTTCAAAAACTTGAGGAGGCACTGACCTGAGTGCTGGTTCATTACATGTGGCTTGCAAATTCTGATGGTTTGGGGAGGCTCACCAGCCAAACGTGCTTTAATCTATTTGCAGAAACACTGCTCTTAAAAACTAGGAAATGCACTTCATGGATTGCAATGAAAATGCTGCTGGAGTCTTGGGCTTAATTTGGATTTGAGCAGTGCAGCCTTCAGGAATTTATTTTTTTTTTCAGTCTTGACAAAAATAAACATGAGATTTCAGTGAAGTAAGGTACATTTGGCTTTTTGTTCCTCAGTAAGTTTTTCTTTTTGCTTTAGGACTGCGTAAGGTTTCCTTGATTATGTGAATTTGAGCCCACAGGTCTTTAATAGATGTGGGTGTTTGACAGGAATACTGAGTCAGTGAAGGCTGAATTCATGCTGGGAGTGTGGAATATTGGATTCTGCTCCGTGGAGCGCTGGCACAGCCCTGGGCACAGGCAGCTCCCAGCAGTGTCTGTGCTGTGGGGATGTGCCACAGGGGGTGAGGAATCGCCTCTAGGAGATCCCAGACTGCCCAGGCTTTGTGTCCTGCCTGGGCCACGGAGCACCCACAGATCAGGGAGCTCATCCTTGGTGTGTGTCCAGGCTGCTGGTGTGACACTCTGGGGGTCCGGGGCCCTGCAGGCCAGGGGAGCAGTGGCACAGCTCAGGTCCTGTCCTGGCCCAGGGGAGCAGTGGCACAGCTCAGGTCCTGTCCTGGCCCAGGGGAGCAGTGGCACAGCTCAGGTCCTGCTCCCTCCCTGGGGGCTCTCCCAGCGTCGCTCCCGGTGCTTCCCTCAGGAGCAGCTCCTGTTCCAGCTGCAAACCTTTGCCTCTTGTCCTGGTTCACTTGAACAGAGGGAGCTTCTCTTCAAATTTCTGCCACGCTGTTGTTTGAGGTCCAAAATTCCTGTCCTTGTGAGCAATACCATTTGTCCCCCTGTCCCTAACCTGGCTGGCAGCTTCGCTGCTGTCCTCACATCCAAGCTGGAATCTCTCCCGGGAGGTGGGGCTGGGTCTGCTCAGGGCTAAGCACAGCCCTGGCCCTCACAGCAGTATGTTCTGGATTTTGCCATTGTAAATGGGTCTAATGTGACATGACAAGACCACAAAAATTGGATGTAAATTTACATTTTTGAATATACTGCTTGTTGTTTCACATGATACATTAGGGTATGCAGCTCCTTTTTGTAGTTTTTATTTTTACTATTTAAGTTTGGAAATGATGCCAAATTTTTTGTATTTCTTTAATCAATGTGTTCTCTTCAGTGATATATATTGCATTATATATTGATGTGTATATCAATATATACTGATATGTATTACACATGCAAACACACTCAGTGGGGGTGGGAGATCCTAGCCTTTGCATACTATATAGCCTCTGCAGAGAGATCCCAAGCAGTGATATCTTGGTGTTGTGATGTACAGAAATGGAGAAGAGTATTAAACCATATTTAAGAATATAGTACAGACTCCTGGTTTGTTTTCTCTAGTCCAGGAAACTCCTGATTTTTGCTCTCAGCTCGGTGCCAGCTTCAGGGCTGGAGGTTGGAGGCAGCTCTCTCACGGTTTGTGTTCCTGGATGTTTTTCCCTGTGCTGGCCCTGCTGAGGCCCCTGAGGGCTGTGCCCAGTTCTGGTCCCTCATGGCCAGAGAGCCCTGGAGGGGCTGGAGCGTGTCCAGGGCAGGGAACGGAGCTGGGAAGGGGCTGGAGCCCCAGGAGGGGCTGAGGGAGCTGGAAAGGGGCTCAGACTGGAGAAAAGGAGGCTCAGGGGGCCCTTCTGGCTCTGCACAAGTCCCTGGCAGGAGGGGACAGCCGGGGGGTTGGGCTCTGCTGCCAGGGAACAGGGACAGGAGGAGAGGGAACGGCCTCAGGCTGGGCCAGGGGAGGCTCAGGGTGGACAGCAGCAGGAATTTCCCCATGGAAAGGGAGCTCAGGGATTGGAACTACCCAGGGAGGTTTGGATCCCCATCCCTGGAGGTGTCCCAGGAAGGGCTGGAGGTGGCACTGAGTGCTCTGGGATGGGCACAAGGTGGGGATGGGGCACAGCTGGGACTCCATGGGTTGGGAGGGATTTTCCAACCTCAGTGGTTCCATGATTCCATGGTTCTGTGTTTCTCCAGCACACTCAGTTGCTCTTTGAAGCTGGAGCTTAAAACTGTGGCTTCTGAAGGAGGGAGAAATTGAAGACAGAGTCCAAAGGCAGGTGTGCTGTGTTACCTGGGCTGCTCTGAACACCTGAGACAGAGGAAGGATAGCAGCAGCGCCTGCCCTTAACACCCAGTCCCAGAACTCTGAGGTGTTTAAGAAGTCTTTTCTGCTCTGCCTCTTTGGGGCCAGGCCAACCTGGACAGAAGTGTCCTGGCTCCATGGGCCTGCCCTGACCCTTCTGGCCTGTCCTGGGGCCAGCCCAGGTGTAGCCACGGCTGCCTTCTCTCCCAGCTGGGCAGGCAGTTTGTGAGGGACATCCTAAATATCAGGGCTTTTAAAGGATGTTTTGAATCCCCTCTCAGCAGGTGCTCTTGGCCGAGGCTGAGCCTCCACCTTCCACGGGAACAGCAGGATTTGGGTTTGAGGCTCTTGCTGTCACACTTGGGCAGTTATTCCTGGGAGCTGAGACTTCTCAGTTTGTGCCCTGCCTCAGTCTCTAATCTGAGCTGTGGCAGGCACAGCAGCCTGGCTTGTTCTCTTTGGATTCACAAATTTTGGACATGGGAGGTTTCTGCTGGAGCAGACACAAAAGTGATGCTCAAATCTCACGCTGTCTGTGACCCAGTGATACTGTTCAGCTCATGGTGTAGGTCAAGGCATCAAGCTGAGCTCAGCACTAAATTAAATATAAAAATAATCTCTTCAGTTGGCGCAGTCAGGGGAAGCTGCTGCCTGCAGAGAACTGCTCCTGCAGTCTCCCTACTTGCAGCCAGGCACATGGTGTGTATTGTTTAATAAAATCCCAAACATTTCTCAGTTGACCCTTTGCTGGCAGCGCCAAGCCTGGTTTCTGCTTCCCAGCTGTGCATTCCAAGGAAGCAGGAGCAGCGAGGCCTGGCTGCTGTGGGGGGATGCCCAGAGCTGGTTCCTGGCTCTTCCCCTGCACGTTTCAGTGGGAGCACAGCTGTGTTTGGTGTGCTGGGTCCCCTCAGTGCCGGCCCTGGAGAGAGACGTGGTGAAACATTTCTTCCTTTCAGCTGCCGGGCTCAGGTCGCTGGGTCCCTTTCACCCTTCAGAAAGCAGCTCTGCTGCAGCCTGGCTTTCACTCCAGGTGTGCTCACGTTGCTCTGTATCCAAAAGTGCCTTTTTTCACACCAAGTATTGCAGAGCATCAGGTGGGTTCTCCCTGCCCTGTAAAGATGGGCATCACCTGCCAGGGCTCCCATGCAGGAGCCTCAACTGCCTCCAGCACGTTTTTGTGGTTGCTTTCCATTCAAATCCAAATTGCTCTGGATCCAAAGCAACACAAATCCCAAGTTTTGGGGTTGGAAGCCAGGCAGGATTGGTGGCTTTCTGTTGGGGAATAACTTATTCCCCCAGAAGGGATCCAATCTTGATTATGTGGAACTGAGAGAAAAAAGAGTCATTTCCAGGATGCCACATGGAGCTGCTTCTGTGCTTGTTGGAGAGGTTCAGAGGGCCCATCCCTGTGTGCACCTGGGTTTGGATGTGGGGCTGGAGGCTCCTTGTCGTGGATCATCAGCTCCTTCTGGCTGCCTGAAGGGTTTCCTTTCCTTGTGCCAAAGGCTTCAGCTCTTCTGAAAGCTCCAGCTGCCTTCTCCCTCGGGAATACCTGGAGTTTGGGGTGTCTGTGGTGAGACCACCCCGCTCCCTCTGCATTCCCCGCTCAGTTTCCAGCTGGCACCGCGTGCTCAGATATTCTGATAATGCTCTTCTGAACCTATCCTTTTTGTCTGGCTGGAATTAAAGCCAGAATTTGCCCTTTCTGAGTTGTTATTTTGGGAGCTGGAGCTCGGCCTGTGCTGTTGTCACTCGTGGGCTACAAATGCCATTGTCCCGGGCAGCCGGGCCCGGCCAGCGGCGCTGGAGGCAGCTCTGGAATTTCACTCTGCTATTTTTAGTCAGTGGTGAAAAATTGCACTTCCAACACTTTTGAATCGCTGTCAGTGCTTAAATAAATCAAAGGGCAGGTCCTGGCTGCTGTAAGGAGCCGGGTGCGGAGGTGACCTGGAGCTGCTGCAGGGCTGAGCTGCGAATGGGTGAGGCGGGGAGCTGGGAAGGGGCTGTGAGGGGTCAGACATTGCTGCCACTGCCACAGCCACTGCCACAGCCACTGCCCTGTCACTGCCACTGTCACAGCCACTGTCACAGCCACTGTCACTGCCACAGCCCTGTCACTGCCCTGTCACTGCCACTGTCACAGCCACTGTCACTGCCACTGCCCTGTCACAGCCACTGCCCTGTCACTGCCACTGCCCTGTCACAGCCACTGCCCTGCCACTGCCACTGCCACAGCCCTGTCACTGCCACTGCCCTGTCACAGCTCCTGTCACAGCTCCTGCCACAGCCACTGCCACAGCCACAGCCACTGCCACTGCCCTGTCACAGCCACTGCCCTGTCACAGCCCTGCCACAGCCCTGTCATAGCGCTGTCACAGCCCTGCCACAGCCCTGCCACTGTCATAGCCCTGCCACAGCCACTGCCCTGTCACTGTCACTGCCACAGCCACCTGTCTGTCCCCCCTGTCACTGTCCCATGGTCACTGCTATGGGGGTGGCTCTGGGCTCCTTGCTCATCTCACTGTGCCCCTTTTGGGGTCAGTTCTCCCCTGCTCCCCGTGTCTCCATGTGGCCCTGCTGGCTCTGCTGTGCCCTGTGTGCAGCTCTGCTCTCCCCAGAGCCACCACAGGGCCCACCTTGGACGTGGCAGCTCTTGGACAGCTGGGATGGAGGAGGAGCTGCTGAAGGACCTCTGTAAGTCCAGATGAGTGAATATCCCTGGTGTGGGACTCTCCCCTTCCTCCCCAGCCATCTCCAGAGCTGTGAGACAAAAGCTGTTGCTCACCCACAGTTTCTCCTTTTCAGTGTCAGGGCAGGAGTCTCCTGAGAAGCCGCTTCACCTGTTTGGCCACCAGGTTCCCACATTGGCACAACCCCCTCCTCCCTGGCTAAGGGATCCTCACAGCTGTTCTCTGCCTGGCTGCTCCCTGCCATGTGCCTGGAGAGGCCCAGGGGGCTGCTTTGCTGCTTTGCTTCTCTGTGCTTGGACTCCAGGACTTGCTTGGAATGGGGAATCTTCCTAGAGGTTCAAATCAGCTTGGCTGAGGCTCTCAGGATCTCCAGTTCTCTCTGAGCCTGTGGAGGTAAGAGGGGAAGTGGATCCTGGAAGGACCCTGGTGACACTGGGCTGTGCAGACAAGAAGCTTGGCTGACTACAGGACAGCCCAGTGTGGGAGGATGTCAGGAGAAACAGTTCAGCTCTTTATCTAGAAAAGATGTGGTGAGACAAAATCAAACAGTTCCAGTTGTGGTATCCTGCCCCAGGTGTGCTGTGGTGGTGCCAGGACTGTGAGACACACACACAGCCTGCGTGGGGAGCTCCAGGGAGCAAATCCTTCCTTGGGATGAGAAAACACGGCCTGAGCTGATGGCTGAGTTCCAGTGGAGTCAGCCCAGGGGGATGGGGCTTTCCCAGGTTTTTCTAGGCACAGGATTACTTTTGCTTCCATACAGCGAGGCTGAGGTGACCCTCAAGGAATCCCCGCCCTGTTGCACAACACCGAGATATCTCCAGGTGGCACCAGGACTTTCCCTTCCACTTCCCCCTCATCCTCATCCTCACAGGAGAACTGGCAGAGCAAGTTCTCTTGGACTGGAACTGCCCCACCGCCCTGCTGTGCCTCCACCTGAGCAGGGCCCTCATTAGCACTAATGAGCAGCTGGTGGCTGCTGTGCAGATGTGACACAGATCTGTCACACACCCGGGGAGGAGTCATGGGCACAGTCTTGTCTGAGCAGGACACACCCAGAGACTGCTCCTCGCATTCCTGCAGCCAGGTAGGCATGACAATATTGTGCTTGACTCATGGAATCATTCAGGGAGGAAAAGATCTCCAAGATCTGGTCCCAGCTGTGCCTGACCCCCACCTTGTCCCCATCCCAGAGCACTCAGTGCCACCTCCAGCCCTTCCTGGGACACCTCCAGGGATGGGCACTGCAAACCTCCCTGGGCAGTTCCAGTCCCTGAGCTCCATTTCCATGGGGAAATTCCTGCTGCTGTCCACCCTGAGCCTCCCCTGGCCCAGCCTGAGGCCGTTCCCTCCTCCTCCTGTCCCTGTTCCCTGGCAGCACAGCCCGACCCCCCGGCTGTCCCCTCCTGTCAGGGACTTGTGCAGAGCCAGAAGGGCCCCCTGAGCCTCCTTTTCTCCAGGCTGAGCCCCTTTCCAGCTCCCTCAGCTGCTCCTTCTAGGACTGACTCTTTCCCAGTGAGTTTCTTCAGAATAAATTTATCAAAACTTGTTTTTTCATCTTATTATGCCTTGGTCATATTGCTCAGTCCTCATAAGGTCTTAAGTTGTGTGTTGGTCAGAAGCAGTTTGAATGTACAGGTACAGGGATTGGTATCCCCACTCTTGCTTTCCTTGGTGCTCCACACTAAAGGCAAAACATTTGATGTTTTTATAATGCTTTCCTTAATTAATTTCTATATTTTTCTCTTCCTCTCATAGGAATTGCTTTTACCCCACCATTAAGAGCAGGTTACAGGAACTCAAATTGCATCTGAGGTCTCCTGCCAGAGTGACACCCATTCTAATGTGCAACATCCATTGCTGTGGTGCAGGAACCCCTGGAACTGCCGGGATGGCAAAACTGATTTACTCTTTGTACAAATTAATGGAAGACTTTTTTCCCCCTTCTTTCTCTTTTTCATTTTCTCTTCATTTCCTCTGCCCTGGGAATCCCTGCCCTACTCAGAACAGCAGGCTGTGCTTTGGAAAGCACCAGGAGTGCTGTGCTGTCAGCAGATCCCTGCTCTGGGTATATTTAGACTGAGACATGCTGATTTTTTACTTTGGTGTCCCAAACAAATCTCTGCTGCCATGGGTGATGTCCAGAGCCAAGGGCTGATGCCAGGGACATCAGACCCAGAGCTGGGTTTTGCCCCTCGTTTCTCAGTGGCAGCTCTGTGTGGGGGTGCTGCCCCAGGGGTGATTCCACCCGCGGGCACTGGGGGCTGTCTTGGGAAGGTGGGAAGGGCCGGCTCGGCTGCAGCAGGAAAAGGATGGATTTTCCACGGCAGTGGGGGTGTCAGGGTGACGGGCAGTGCTGTGGGCACCCCTGGGTGCATTTGGGTTTGTAGCCTCACTTAGAGGGACTTTGGGGCAGTGGCATCTTTGGGTTTGGCTTTGTCCCCATGAATGGAAATGGGGCAGCTTTTGGGGACATCAAATTGTCACCCTCAGGCTGTGAGCAGCAGCAGGGGTTTGATGGAGATGGACATTTGCAACTCTTGTTTTTCCTTTCAAATGCTCTAAAAAGGGCTTAGACCTCATGGTAGGTATTCTGAGTGATTTTGAATGGATGAAGGACATTTCTGCTGACACCAATGCCCTGTGGAGCAGCTGAACTGTCAGGAAGAAAGGACTTTGCACCATTTCTATTTGCTCATCCTCCATCTCTTCACCATTTGGCAAAGATTTGAACAGGTAACAGGAAAAAATGCTTCGCAGGAAGCTCCAGGTCCATTTTCATAGCAAGCCCAGTGCTGTGCTGTCACACCAAACTGCTGCCTAGGACAGTTTTTCTTCCAATTTCCACTGCCTGTGGCTGCAGCTGGTCCCTGCTGCATGGCCAGAGGGCAGCCCGAGGGTCCTTGGTCCCCAAAGCACCTGAGCTCTGGATGGCTCCTGGAGGCTCCGTGGCTCCTGTGCCAGTGGCACTTTGCCAGCAGGATCCAGACCCTAAAGGCTGGAAAAGCTGCTCGTTGCCAAGGGCTGAGGTCAGCTACCTGGAAATGCCCAGCGGTGGCAGCAAGACCAGGGCCAAGGCACAGATTAGGATTTACTAAACAGAACTGTTTATCAGGTGAGCAGTGCAACATGCACAGCCATCTCATGGGTCCATATATCCCAGAATCCCAGACAGCTTTGGGATGGAAGAGACCTCACAGCCCATCCAGCGCCACACCTCCCACCGTCCCAGCCTGGCCTTGGGCACTGCCAGGCATCCAGGGGCAGCCCCAGCTGCTCTGGGCACCCTGTGCCGGGGCAAGGAGGGAGCGGCTGGGGGGGTCTCGAATGCGCTTTCCAAGGTTTCCATCCCCCGGTGTCCAGTTCCAAACCCGCCTCGGCCTTTCCCGCACGGTTCTGCTCCGCTCGCGGCCCCGGGCGCTTCCGCCGTCCCACGAGGCGCTCGCTGCCGCAACGCTTCCCGTTTCCCGTTCCCGCTTCCCGTTCCCTATGCCCTATTCCCCATTCCCATTCCCGATTCCCCGTTCCCGTTCCCCTCAGGCCGCCCCCCCCACTCCCGGCATCCCCCGCGCGCCCCCCGCGCCCAATGGGGCAGCGCGGGGCTCCCCGGGGGCGGGGCCTGACTCCCCGAGGCCCCGCCCGTTCCGCGCGCGCCGTGACGTCGCGGCGGGTGCAGTGCGCGTGCGTGTGCGCGTGCGCGTGCGCGTGGCGGGGGCGGGCGGGCCACGGCGGGGCCTGGCGGGCGCGGGGCGGCGGCGGCGGCGGCGGGGCCGGGCCGGGCCGGGCGGGCGGAGCGGAGCGGCCGCCGCGATGGAGCCCGACTCGGTCATCGAGGACAAGACCATCGAGCTCATGGTGAGTCCCCCCCGGCCCCCGCGCACTCCCTGCCGCCCCCTCTCGCCCCCCCCGGCTCAGGCCCCGCCGGCGCGCCCGGCCCGCGGGGTCCGGCGCCGCCGCTGCGGGGGCCGTGCCGAGCCCGCGCTCGGCCCCGGCCCGGCCGCGCTGCCCCCGCGGGGGGATCCGCTCGCTCCCGCCTCCGCCGCGGCCCGCCCGGCGCGACACGAGCGCCTCCGTCTCATTGAAAAGAAATAAATAACAACAATTAACCAATTAACCCCCCCGGGAGGCGGGCCCGGGCTGGCGGCGCTCAGCGGCGCGGCCGCGCTGCACGAACCGAAAGCGAAATGCTCCGGGCGGTGGGTCCGGCTCCAGCCCCGGCCCGAGCCCCCGGGGCCCATCAAACCCCGCCGGGCGGGCTCGGGGCTCCGGGCCGGGGCAGCGCCGCTGCTGCAGCTCCGCTCCGGCACCCACGGAATTACCTAACGAGACCTAATTGGTGTATTGGTTATACCCCTAATTAACGCTTACGCCGTTAAATTCGCGTTAGTGGAGAGGCAGCCAGGTGGGAGCAGCAGAAAGAGGTGTTGGGTTTTTTTTTAATATAAGCAAATTAGATCTCTGTAGGCAAAAATCAGAGGCCCCTCGTTTTACTGCCTTTAGGCATGAGTAAAATTAAGTTAGGAGCTGAGAGAGAATAGTAATCGGTAAATATCTTCTAATTTATTTGTTATAAGCATAACTGCTTTTTCTCTTAAGCATAATTTGCTCTCGCATACTGAATTTCATGCAGTTCTCCAGAACTGAGGGGCAAAATTCAAATAGTTTCCCTTCAAGGCATTCTGAAGGTGAGCTAGGTTCAGTGGAGACATAAATGGGTTTTTTTGGCAGTGGAGTTGTTGCTAAACTATCTGGTCCAGAAAATATGAACTTTCTTTAATTGTGCCATCTGGTCTCGAAAAGCAGAAATAAAATGAAAGGGGAAACCTACAAAGCCTTTGTGTATCTTTCATTATTTTTACTGATCACTGAGGACGGGGGCTTAGGGAGCCTCTTGCTCTGGGGCTGTGATCTCGCACTTGCCCTGGGGGACGTCAGAGCTTCAGTGCCCTCAGCAGGGAGGACAAGGCTGGGGCAGCTCTGTGGCCATCCTGCTCGGGAGCAGCCTCCCAGAGGTTGATCCCAAGAGATGCCGCCTCAATTCCCGAGTGGGAACTGTGCTCTGGTGTTTTTTTCCTCACTGGAACAAGGCACCAACACTCCTCAGCTCTGGGTTCTGTGAGGTGCTCGAATAGCATTTGGAGCTGGGAGGTTTGGCTCCCTGGACTTTCAAAAGCCCCCACTTGTTTGTGGTTTTGCTCTCCCGTTTTAGTCTCTCCTCTTTGCAGCCAGGTTTTATCAGGAGGAAGAAAATGGGATTTTTGCTGGTGAGTGTTGTATCCTCCACTGGCTGGAGCTGGGAAATGTGCTAATCCATGCAATTATCAGTGGGGTTAGTAGGAGTTTTAGTACGTAGTAGGAGGTTTTAGAAATACACTTCTGTCTCTTTCATAAGAAATGGATAAATATAATTGAATAAGAACTACAATTAATTCCATAGTTTCCAGGAGAAAATGGTGCTCTGTACAATGTAGTTGGTAGTTGAATTTAACTTTAACCTTAGTGATGGCTTGCACAGGATCACTTGTGCTTGAGTGGAGATGTTTCCCTAAAATCATTGAAAATCATTCCTAAATGCAGAAGTGGAGGTTTTGCCTTCTGGTGTGGTGCAGGGGGGGAGATTCTCCAGGAGATTTGTTTGAATCCGCAGGGCAGAAGCTGTTTGGGTTGAGTTCCCCATTGGGGATTTCTGTGTGACTGGAAACATGGGAGTCAGTGCTGTGGGAGACATCCCAAACCTGGGATCATCCCTGCCTGGCAGACTCAGGGGGATGCTGCTCTCTCTAAGAGTGTTCCACATTCCTAAAAGCATAAGTTTTATGCCTCTCTTGGATCAGGGAGATGGGGTTTGGTGCACTTTTGCTCAATCACTTCCCTCAAGTGCCAGGGATGAATCTGTAGTAAATACAGAAGCAAATGTGTGATGTGAAAGTTCTGAGGAGCAAATACACCTTAATTCTGAGGGGCTGATTGCTGTGAGGTAATGTGTCAACATGTTAATTGCATGTACGTTTCAGAACATGCTGCTCTAGCCCTCAACTGTGCCTTCCCTGGATAGATCATTTGTATTTATTTAAAGGAAAATCAGTCATGTAAATAATACTGTTCTATTTTTAAGGCTGGAATCTCAGAGAAATATTTTAAGGTTTCAGAGTGACAACTTTGATTTGCTGTGTGAAGTTCTAGTGAGTGTTCCCAAGCTGCTGTGTCCCTCAGGACAGCTGAAGGCTTCCTGTGCTGTGGATCCTGTCATTCCCAAGGGCATGAGCATTGAGTGATGCCATTCCATTGCTTCCATATGTGGGTGGTGCCCACCTGTAGGGGTGAGATTCCCCTAGGTTCACTGGGACTGACTGGGATGCCCAGGCTGAGGCTCACAGTGTCTGGCAGGGTTGGGGCTGGTCCAGTCATGGGCTCAGGGAAATGCTGGATGTGAGCAGGCAGCTGAGGAGTGAGGAAGTAATCCAGAACAGATGGAGGGCCAGCCACAGCCACTGAAAGGGCTCTTTCTGCCCCTGGTTTTGGTTTTCTCTGTGAAATTAGATAACTGTGACCTTTTTGCTCTTTTAAAGAACCAATAGCAATGCTTTGTGAATAAGTTTTGTTACCTGCAGATCCAAGTTGTGTATAAAATCTGTGTTTGGTTGCATCAACCCTGTGGTTTGTGTTTATCTTCAATACCTGCTAAAAGCCTTGTGTTCTTCATTTTCCCAGGAAGCTTCCCATAATTATTTAGTGTTACCAGCAGCTTTCACAGTGTGGGGGGTTAGCTGCGTAGGTTGTGCTGAGGTGGTTGTAACAGAATGCATCACGGTGGCGAGTAGTTTGAGGGGCTTTTTATACATTATGGGGAGGACTTTGTGCAGCTTGAGATGTGGATGGCTTAACAAACCTGCTGCTCTCAGATTCCTGTACCCACCAGCCACCTACAGGAGAAGGCTCCCGAGCAGGAATCCAGGTGTGTGGGAATTCTGCCCCTCACTGAGCTTCTGACACTCGTGTTTAACTGTGGCCTTGCTGCCCAAGCTGCTCTCCAAACACAGATCCCTGTGCTGGCAGGTTAAATTCAGCATTCTCTGCTCTGTGGTAGGAGTATGAGAAAGTTTGGGACAGGCCATGCCTGGGAATAAAATGGGCAAGCAAGTGTTTACACTGCCATCATTTGTATCTTGAAGTTATATACATGGAAATAATCTTCCTAACACACAGCCCTCAGCATCTAGAATGCCTCTCTCTGGCTCTTATAAAAGCATCTAGTGTTTAAGTACCTTGGTAAATAATAAATGAAGAATTATAATTGAATATCTTGGCAAAAATCTTTCTGTTTCTCCTGGCAGGACTTTGATGTGAGGTGGAGGTGTTCAATTCAGAGGTACCAGTCTGAGAAGGAAGTGTTTCACACAGGCCTGCCTGAGCAGCAGCAGCTCCTGCTGTAAATCACTCCAGGGGTTCCTGAACTTCCTTGGGTTGCTGCAGCTGGAGATGGTTGTGCCCCCAAACTATTTAAAACTTAAAGTGCAAAATAAATCCCAATATTCTGCTGTATATATATCTCAGTAGGGCTGTAGTGCTCTGGTTTTTTTCTTCTCTCAGTCATTGCAAGCCAAGCAGGCAGTTGGATTTGTGGGATTTTTTTCCCACATATTCTTAGAGGAATCCTTCAAAGAGTTGACTTTTGTAGTGACACAGATACAGGCAATGATCATCTTTGCAGCTGAAACAAAGGAGGTACTGTTCTAGATGAAATGTCACTGGTTCTTAACTGAAGCCTGGGAGTAGATGGAGTGTTAGTAAGGCAGTTGTAAACCTTTGTGTAACCTAGATGTGCTTTCTTCAGCAGGATAACGATCTGTTTGCGTTGCTGGTGTCTTTTTTTAATGTTCAGTAGATAAATGAGCAGAGTTGAGAGCTGCATGTTGGACATGCAGGGTTTCACACGTGGGGAAGGCAGCTGCTGGAGCCAGTGGCTGAAGAGGTGGTGATGGGATGGATGTGAGGAGGGCACAGCCTTGGGATGAGCCTTGGGGCAGGGAATGTGAGGTCTGTGCTGCTGCCAGGCTCTCAGAGTGACAGTCCTGTTTCAGAGAGTGCCTCGAAGAGGGAGGATGCAGATCTGAAGAGATTTCTGTGACTTTGGCTGCGGTGCAGAAAATGGGAAGGAAGAGCTTAAGAACATGAATTAGAGCAAGGCAACTGCACTCAGAGCCAGCGGAGTGGTGAAAGGTGTGTGGAAAGCTTTATCTTTTGAGAGGGTTTAGCTGGAGCAATGGCCTGGCTGGGGAAACGAGATGGCACAGGGAAGTAGGCTATAAAGATGCAGAAGTGTGTAAAGAAGAGTTATCTAAGGTTTGTGGTGATGGTGGCAGTAGCCATCAGATTACTCAGGTGAAGGAAAGCTGCAGATGTGCCAGTTGTGGGGGAACTTCTGAAGCTAAATTGCTTTTGGTTCTTAATAAAAGGAAGTTACCAATTCTTGGGGAGACTAAGCCCTGGTATTTCACCTGAGGCTTTTTTTCATTCCAGACTCAGAGATTTCTCACCTCACGATGCACTTATATTTTCTAACATGACAAAATTCCCTGAGCTCTGCCCGCTGCTGAGCTGGTGGGGTGCAGCAGAGGGAGTTCCCTGCAGCCTGGAGCACGTGCAGGGCTCCTCTGTGTGAGTGTGACCGGGAGCCTTGGGCTCCATGGGCTGCCCCAGAGCTCGGCCTCGGGCCGGGAGCTCCCGAGTAAATCCCTGCCCAGGTGTGCTACCAGATCCTGTCTCTGCAGGCAGCTGCTGTGGGTGCAGCTGCCCTCTCTGAAGTGCTCTGGGGCTGCTGCTTTGAAAAGTCTGCCTTTGCTGCATGTCAGACTGTCCCTCAGGATACAGAGCTTTGAGCGCTGCTAAGATTTGGGTCACTGAGGAGTGTTGTGAACAGCATCGCAGCAAAACAACCTGCTTTGTTACAAGCTGTACCCTCAGCAAGACCTGGGGATGTTCTTTCAAGGATGGATGTACCTTTCCATTTCATTTCATGTTTTCTAAACCACCTCTGCTGCTTGTTAAATCAGCTTGCCGTGTGTCTCTGGGTGTGCTGGGTTTATTGCTGCGCGGTTTCGAGGTCGCTGGTGCTTTGGCATTTCCAGTTGCCCATCCCTGGGCAGCTCAGCGTGCTCGTGCAGCAGCGTGCTCAGGGAGATTGCTGATGGCTTTCAGATGGAGTGGATGTTGCAGCAAATGTGCCAATGCGAGAGGAATGATGTGTGGGAGAGAACAAGAGACTGTGCTTATGAGAGGGCTGCTCCGTGACAAGGAATTTTTTAGTTGCAGGGCAGAAAATGAATCGAAGGAAAATGAGAATATTGACTGAGTTGTTTAAATTAATGCTGATGGGTAACAATCCTTTCCTTCCAGCTTTTTCCTTGGGTGACGTCTTCTTTATACGAATGCCACTGTTTATGTTGTTACATAATCTGATTTCCTGGTTTGATTTTTATGGCATCATTATTCACAGAAAATCCACTTTTTCTGGAAAATCCCTTCCTTCCCCAGTTTATTGATGTATTTATGAGCTCAGTGGTGTGACATCTGACAACCTACTCTGTTTTCCTGTGCAACTTCCACACATTTCCCAATATGAACAATGCATGACCGAGAGCAGATAATGCAAAAATAAGGCAATGCCATTGGTGTTTTAACAACCAAAAGCACTGACTCTTTCTGAAAACTTAATTTGCTTTTCATGCAGGCTAAATTAACAACGGGAACATTTGAAGGCATGTTGTTTCTTTGGTGCTTTGTTAATCCACATCCCCGCAGGACTTGCATCCTTGTACTTCCACCCCAGGAAATTAACAATTTTGTTTGGGATCAAAGAGTAGTTGAGCTTCCTGGGCTCGTTTGTAGGATGAATACAAATGGAAATTTGTAAGATGTAGGTAGGGACCTACTTGCTAGGAATAGGGAGTGATGTGTTTTCTGGGTAAAATGGCAAAAAAAGCTTTTTGGGTCAACTTCAAGCTGTTGGCAACACTACAGAATTTTGGTTTACTCATTGACTTAGAGGAGAAGAGAAGAACCACTATATATATATATATATATATATATATATATATATATATAT